GACCATCAAGAATCCTTGTTTGATGCAAAAAAAGCCCACAGCTCAAGCTTATTTATTCATTTGTTGTACACCTCCTTTCTGCAAGGACACCTAAGGGAGTCTGCATTTTTAAAACAGTAAAACATTCTTTTCATGGCCTGTACACTGCAGCTACCCCCCCATGCCCTGAGAGAGAGATGTATGCATTGCATAAAATACGGTAATCACAGCATGCACTTCTGCCTGGTTAATGTACTAACTTCAGAAAATCAGTGAGCTGCTGGAAACATAAAAGGCGCTGAGTTCAGAGACTGGCATGTGGGATCGATTGCAATAAAATCCTCTTGATGTACATTTACCACTGACAGAGGTCCTTGCGTATCTGCTAGATACATCTGTCAAGAGAAGAGACAGTCATACGCCTAAGATTCCCAGTGATTTCTTAAGTGAGGCTACTATGTAAAGGCGCCATGGCTTAGATGGTCAAAGCGCCTGTCTAGTAAACAGGAGATCCTGGGTTCGAATCCCAGTGGTGCCTTCTTTATTTTCCTCCTGATCCAAATATCAGAGTTGAGATGAGTAAGATTCATTTCTGTGGCCGGCAGAGCCTCCTGGAATATCGAACCTTGTTAAAACCAACGACAACAATGCATGACAGTCACCGCAGAATTGCAATGCAGAGAACAAAGCTAAGCAAAGCAACACGGCTGGAAATGATTAAGGCATTTTGCTGCTATTGCACCTTGAGATAATCAGAGATGAACAGTGCAATCTTACGCACGTCTGCTCGGAAATACGTCCTGTTGAGATCAGTAGCACTTACTCCCGGCTGGGTGAATAGAGGATTTCAGCCTGAACCGCAGAGAGGCTTCTCTTACGGGAGCGGTGGGGGTGAAACCAGAAAGGACAGTCCCCCCACTCCGCCTTAACAGCTATAGGATCTTTTTGTAAAAGGAGTGAAAGCTGTGGATCACCGTGGTTCCATGGTGTAATGGTTAGCACTCTGGACTCTGAATCCAGCGATCCGAGTTCAAATCTCGGTGGAACCTAGCTTTTTAATGTTATTTATATATATATATACACGTATATACAGTAGTATGCAGTATAAAAAGCGAGCTTTGCCTTTAGCACTGAACGAGGGAATCTCCCCTGCATATTTTTGGTAGTCAGAGGTCTACTGTTATGGGAATGAAAGATGTGGTAGATTTTAGCTGCCATCCTCTCACAGAATCGATACGCCCTAAGAACATTGTGCCGTCCAATGATTTTTAAAGATCCACGTAACTAAGCGCACTTGTGCACTGGTCTCTGATGGGAGCTTAGTAGCTAGTGATTTATTTAAGTACGCAGTTCTGTTGCGGCCCCACACCCATCTTCAGCTACCAAGATTATCAAATGTTTCAAGCGGGCAACAAGACCCTGGTTTACCCCCCTTTATGTGAAAACACTAAACAAAGAAAGCACGCCTGAATAAATGAGGTACACTAATAGAAGGCATAAATATTGGTCTCCCCGTCGGGGAATCGAACCCCGGTCTCCCGCGTGACAGGCGGGGATACTTACCACTATACTAACGAGGAATGCCTTGTTGATAACTTTCACCCCTCACTATATATATAAATGACCGTAGCCTCTAATTCATTGATTAATTAAAAAACCCCATTCTAAACCTTCTCATATCGCAGCGATCTACTTCATCCCTTTACATTTCCTGTTTTGAGCTTTTAACTCGGGAGTACTATTTTCATGCAAAATATTATTTTGATAGGTATATTAAAAAAAATACAGTTCCAGGGTTAGGCAGATGAAAGGAACACTATGAAAGGCTTCTGTACTATACTCTCTGGGGTGAAACCCTTAGAGTAGTACGGTACTGACGGCTAAAACCTATCCAGCCGTCGCTAAATGCAAGGCAGTTAAGAGCTTAACATTTGCTGCACATACGAACATACACACAACAGAGAGATACAGTCTCCTAACTCGTGCGCCGGAAAGCTCTCATCTGTTAGCGTCGGATGCATTGCATTGCATGGGAGGAGCAACGTGACGACAGAAATGTCGAGAGGCCAAAAGGAAGTTGAGGAAGTAAGACGTTGTCAGGGATAGAATACGTAGTGCAGTGATTCCAGTTCGTGTTGCCATTGTGAAAAGTGAATGACGGGAAGGCATTTTCTGAAGTCGGCTCGTTGGTCTAGGGGTATGATTCTCGCTTCGGGTGCGAGAGGTCCCGGGTTCAAATCCCGGACGAGCCCTCTTTTTTAAATTCTTTTAAAAAAATCTCTATTTTTCAGTTGCTGGAAGAAAACAGATAAAGGGTATGGGAAAGCTGAGACCAGACGAGATTAAAATGCAATGAGAGACTGATGAGAAAATATCCCAGAAATTAACTAGGTGTTCGTGGTGTTTTGTTTTTTTAAAAAGGGTATTTAGCTAAACCAGTTGTGAAATTTTGAAACGCAACAAAGTTTACCGGAGCATATAAAAGAAGAGATGCAATCCTAACACCAGATGCATACATAGAAGAGGGGCCGGGACACAAATCTGAATTAGTGTCATTCTACTGATCATTGCTATTGTGCGATGTTTAAAGTTTTTATTTATTTACTCAACATCGATCAAATGTTCCTGAAATCGTGGACGACTGATCAATAGTAGAGGGCTTGTACAGAGGTCTCTGTGGCGCAATCGGTTAGCGCGTTCGGCTGTTAACCGAAAGGTTGGTGGTTTGAGCCCACCCAGGGACGGTAGTTTTTTATTATTAATCACGATCTAAAATTACAGAGCTTAGTAATTTAAATGGCCTCTTAACTTAAACACCGATGTTCTGCCTAAGGCATTTTACTTAATATTGAGACAACATTTACCCTTTGAACAGCTTAGGCAAATGTGTGAACTGCTGTTTATAATCATTATAGATGCTGCTGTTTATTGCACCATCAGTGGGCATGGCTTTTTACAAAGTACAAGACACCCAAGTGGCTTACAACCCAAAATTCAACACAGGAGAAACAACAAAGGGGTGGCCGTGAAGGCAGGAAAGCAATAAGTGATTGATGCAGTCACAATGGCTCTAGTATTATGCCAACAATAATAGTTGCATGAAGAAGGGCTTCTCCAAATTGGTACCCTCCAGATGTTTGGACTAACCTTCTATGCTGGCTCGTGCTGATTGTGGCAATTGTCCAAAGAGCACCAGGTTACAGAAGGCACTAGGTTACAGAAGCCTGCAGAAGAAGGGTCTGTTGTGCTTCTCTGTGTTTATATTGCTATAGACTTCACATTTCAGTGTCCACTCTTTGACATCCACACCCCTACAAACACCCACTTCTGTACGCCTTTGTATACGTAGATATATGTGTGCGGATGTAACATTCAGGCTGAACATAATCCTTCATGCATATTCTCTAGGGATCTTTTAGTCTACAAAACCGTAGGCCTTAATAAGTATCTCAGGCTCCAATCCTGCCTCAGTTTAGCTGGGAGTAAGTTCCACTGAACGCAGCAAAACTTACTTCTGTGTAGGCTTGTGTAGGGTTGCCATATGTCCTCTTTTTCATGAGTAGAAGTCGGCAAAATGTGTCTTCTTTTTTGCACTTCAAAATATGGCAACCCTAACCATGGTCCAATGTTATTATGGAAGGCCACAGGTTCATCAAACAACTCCTGCATACTACAGTAAGAAATCAGCCATTTTCAGCCTGGATGTGAACTGTTCTGCTGTATCCGATTAAGGAAACACAGATTAGGTTACATTGCAATTTAACAACCTCCTGTATATTAAATTCTCAAGAGGGAGGGAGGGAGAAAGTGCATTTGAAAAGAGTCAGTGGATGAGTGTCAGATATTAACAGTTTTATGGTTCCCCGTTACATGACTATATACTTGGGCATCATTGTGGTTGTGAAATATCAGGGCTGTCTTCTACAATGGCTTTAAAAGAGAATTAGACAAATTCATAAAGGGGAGACAGTCAATGGCCACTAGCCACAATGGCTATTCTCTGCCTGGAGGAGGTAAAAGGTAAAGTAAAGGTAAAGGACCCCTGGACAGTTTAATTCCAGACAAAGGCGACTATGGGGTTGCGGCACTCATCTTGTTTCTAGGCCAAGGGAGCCAGCATTTGTCCACAGGCAGCTTTCCGAGTCATGACTAAACCACTTCTGGTGCAATGGGACACCAGGACGGGAACCAGAGCACACGGAAATGCCGTTTTCCTTCCTGCTGCAGCTATACCTATTTATCTACTTGCACTGGTATACTTTTGAACTGCTAGGTTGGCTGAAGGAATCAATTCTCTTGTGCTTTGGTTCTGCTTTCGGGTTTCCACAGGCATCTGATTGGCCACTGGGAGAACAGGATGCTGAGGTAGATGGGCTATGGACCTGCTCCAGCAGGGATCTTCTTGACTACCTATTTTAACCATTCAAAATAGTTATAACTCTGCCCTAAACTGCTTTATCTTGCAACATCAGCATGCATATCTCTTGATTTAATTCTTTTGTATGCAGCTTTCCTTATCTGCTTTGTGTACATGCTTTGATATCACACCTGTTATTCCAAGCTGAACACATTCTGAATGCCTTTTTAAAAATTGGCTTGGCTGTTCCTATTTTAAATGGGTTCCACTTAATTTTACATGGGTGGGTGTATTAGGCTAATACAGCATTATCATAATTTAATGCTTTCATAACATGGTCCAAGAAGCAGGTTTTCTTCCTATATTCATGTGGGGAATTTGGAATCTGGAGTACTAGCAAATTCCACCAGTCCTAGTGAGCGTAATCAAATAGGAACAACATTGCAGATATTAAGAAGCAAAAAGCACATACTTTAATTCCCTCCCCCTGAACAGTAGAGGAAACAGGGAAGAACGTTTGCAAAAAATTGTTTTCTACTTTCAACACATGCAGGAAGAAGTTTGGTTTTGCACAAGTGCTACCATTTCTTAGTGTGTATAGGAGGAGGGCGGGAAAAAGCAGGGGGAACCTCACACACTATCATAAAGAATTAAGAAAAACCATTGCCGAAACCCGGGATCGAACCAGGGACCTTTAGATCTTTCAGTCTAACGCTCTCCAACTGAGCTATTTCGGCACGTGCGTTACAATGCCTGAGCCCCTCCATCAGAAATAAAAACATGCTGACCTACAATACACCACGTATTTCTGTCTTTATGGACTGCATGGGAGATGGTTGCTACATTGTACTATTACCTCATTTACACATTGTTGTGCTACATTGTTACGCTATCGGTCTGCATTTTATTGTTACTTTATTCTAGCCACACTTGTATCCAGAGAACTCCGGAGGACTAAAAAGAGTATTGTTGCGTATATAGCCATCTAAGAGCCCAGAAACTTAAGCCAAGAGGGAAAACTCGGGAGACAGGAATGTCAAGTTATCTGGGTGTAAGCCTAGTAGAAAAAACAGAGGCTGGCTTCCAGGTTAAAAGTGCGCGAAGGGTTTCACAGCAAGCCACTTACACAAACTTCACATCTGGGGAAAGTTAAGATACTTAAATGATACTCTGCCGGATAAGCCTGTTAGATCCGTGCTGCGCTTGCCGTTTTTAACCCGGAAGATACCCACTGTGACACTGAAATAAGGCGCGAGAATGTGTTTTACGTTCTGGCGATACCATATATTGTTGCAGGGACTGGCGCAAAGCATAAGACCCTTAAGTTACGTCTCTGCTAACTAGCACTGGTAATACAAATTCCATATTACGAATTCCTTTTGCCAGAAAACATACATGTAATCAAAATCAGCTCTTTTCTAGATATTGTGGGTGGCTCTTAAAAGAGCCTTTGTTGTCTGTTTTGAAATGTCTCCGACGTCTCCTAAAAATCCTACAAGAATTTACTTGGCCTTCGCTTTATGGCTCTCGGTTTTCTTGGGGCAACAGCACAGCCTGGATGTTGGGGAGAACGCCTCCTTGAGCAATGGTGACTTTGCCCAGCAGCTTGTTCAGCTCCTCGTCGTTGCGGATGGCGAGCTGCAAGTGGCGAGGGATGATCCTGGTCTTCTTGTTGTCCCGGGCAGCGTTGCCGGCCAACTCCAGGATCTCGGCAGTCAGGTACTCCAGCACAGCAGCCAAGTAGACGGGAGCTCCGGCCCCGACGCGCTCTGCGTAGTTCCCTTTGCGCAGAAGACGGTGCACACGACCCACGGGGAACTGGAGTCCGGCACGAGAAGAGCGAGTCTTGGCCTTGGCCCGAGCCTTGCCTCCTTGCTTGCCGCGTCCAGACATGATACCAACTTCTAAAGTAGAACAACAACTCGAGATGAGAAACCGGAAAAGTAAGTCACAACATGGCGATTCTGGCCCTTTTATACCCTCCCTGAGACTCAGCCTCGGCAATTTCGATTGGCTGAACGCTGAAAGCCACCACAGCGTCCAATGAAAGCGCGGCTTCTCATTGTGCCCAATGAAAACGCCGAGGTCTCACGTCACCCATTGTGATGATTGGTTGGTTTCCAGAAAACCTTTTGTGCGCGTTGTGCTTCCTTAATCAGGGCGTCGAAAGGAGCCAATAGGAAAGCGGGAGGATGTGCGCCGAACCGCGGGGGGCGGTGAATAAATACGCGTGCAGCGAAGACTTACCTAGCATTTCTTTTTTCACACATATTCTCAGTTGGTCGCAGTTTCAGCATAGCAGGATGCCGGAACCAGCCAAATCCGTGCCTGTTCCGAAGAAGGGCTCCAAGAAGGCCATCACCAAGACCCAGAAGAAGGGCGACAAGAAGCGCAAGAAGAGCCGCAAGGAGAGCTACTCCATCTACGTCTACAAGGTGCTCAAGCAGGTCCACCCGGACACGGGCATCTCCTCCAAGGCCATGAGCATCATGAACTCCTTCGTCAACGACATCTTCGAGCGCAATCGCGGCCGAGGCTTCCCGCCTGGCGCATTACAACAAGCGCTCCACCATCACCTCCCGGGAGATCCAGACCGCCGTCCGACTCCTGCTGCCCGGAGAGCTGGCCAAGCACGCCGTCTCCGAGGGCACCAAGGCCGTCACCAAGTACACCAGCTCCAAGTAATTCCTTATTCTTGGCACAGCAGCTTTTTTTAAACAAACCAACGGCTCTTTTCAGAGCCACCCACTTTCTCTGCAAAAGAGCTAAATTTGCTAGAAAAACTGCGCGTGAGCTTTATGTAAGAGGCTTTACTTGTGTGTTAACTGCCTTTTGGAAATAAATGCTAGTTAGTATACGTTATTGTGTTATGAGATACTCCTAAAGCTAAGCTTTTGCTTTTGGGTCTTAGCCTGCAAATGAGGGGAGAAGCTCTGTTTCGGTAGGGAGAGGACTTCTATTGCTCAGATGGGACACATTCACCTTAGCTAAGATGCAGTAATTTTATTTCATTAATTGCTATTACCTTTAAGTCGTGGCACAGTTCTTATCACTTGTGAATAGAGCACCAGACTTTTGGAAGATATAATCACATAAATATATATCCCTTCACCTAATGCTTTAATGGCCTGAAGCTCCCACCTGAAAAGTTTACACTCCTGGACAGATGAATTTTTAGAATCCATCTGGCAAGTTATTTCTTCCTTTCTCTACTTCTCTTACCCGTCTCAATACATTTTTCTTCTATTCGTTTTCCCCCCTCCCTCCCCATTTCAGTCCTTTTCAGTCTCCACTAGATTTCTCAACTTGGCCTGTTTTTCCTATGTCTCTTAAAGTCAAAAAGCTCATACTGTTTGAGTGCTCCAGAAATTAACTCCCTTTCTCAGCTGTCTCCAAATCTCCAATTATTGAAATCACCAACTTGTTTCCATCTCGCCTTCATTCTCTCCTTCCAAAGTCTGCTACACAGAAATGTGTTTAGTGGTATGTTTGGCCAATAAGGCAGATGTTTCACAGAAACATTTCTCTATTGTTGTGAGGAGGCAGTTCCCAACCAGTCTTCTGATTAGGGTTACAGCTGTTCTTATTTCTAAGTCAGTATGCCAATTCCATTTCAATCAGTAACGTTTGTGTAAAGTTGCATTTGTTTGGGGAGCCGAGTTCTAGTGTGCACCTAGGTCTCAAAATATTCTGAAAGGGGACATCAGGGCTGCATGTTAACTTTGCAGGCTTTTCTGGGAGTACTAGCAATCAGCAATAACTGATTGGAACACCTGAAGTCTGATTAGATTCTGGTCCCTGATGGTAACCCATCGATTCAATAATCATGTGCAGTAGTACTTACTCTTTATTTACAATCTTTTAACTTGGGTCACTCAAAGAAAACTTCTGCATACTGTCTGAAGTGGGGATCACATTGGTTGCAGGGAAGGTATATGAAAGATTCGCAGGGAACTATTAGAGGTTAGTTGGAAAAGTTGAAATAAACTGAGTTCAAATCACAGCTCAGCTAACCAAGGTGACCTCAGGCCAGCCACAGTCAACTTTACGTACCTCACAAGGTTGTTGTGAAGATAAAAATGGGGAGGGGGAGAACCACACTGAGCTCCTGGTTGGAAAGGTGGTATATAAACATAATATAAGAGTATGTGTAATAGTGCTTTAATGACAAGCATTTCGCAGAAGCAACTTCACAACTTCTTTGCCACCTCTTAATGCAGGGGTCAACAAGCTTTTTCAGCCATGGTCCGGTCCACTGTCCCTCAGACCATGTGGCAGGCCGGACTATTTGAGCGGGGAAATGAACGAATTCCTATGCCCCACAAATAACCCAGAGATGCATTTTAAATAAAAGGACACATTCTACTCATGTGAAAACACTCTGATTCCCATACTGTACGCAGGCTGGATTTAGAAGGCGATTGGCCAGATCTGGTCCCCGGGCCTTAGGTTGCCTACCCCTGTCTTAATGTAACATAGGTTTGCTAAACAACTGTAGATTGTACACTGGTTATCCGTGTTGCTGTATTCACAGGAGCAAAGGCAGGCAAGCAGCATGAGGAGCTTCAACTCATGCTAATGTGACCATCCTATAGGAACATGGGAAGAGCTTGTTGGGTCAGGCCAATGGCCTATCTAGCACAGCATCCTGTTATCACAGTGGCCAACCAGATGCCTGTGGTAAACCAGCAAGCAGAAGCTGAGCATGAGCACTCTCCTCTCCTGCAGTTTCCAACAACTTGTATTCAGAAGCATTTGTATATATAAAAGAATCTGTTTCAAACACTGCATATTTATGGTCCCCCCAGTACTTTCTTTCTTTGGATCATTCAGTGTCTCTGAATCTACAAAATATCTTGGTTCAGCCCCTTTTGACATAATCTGTGCTAAAGTGCCTGGGTATTATCTGAACATAGACTGTTCAGCAACCTCTTTTGTGTTAAAGAGGTTGTTAAGCTGACAACACTTTGTTGAATTGATGTTACACTACCTGAAGAAATCAGGCTGCAAGATATCTCAGCAATTGGGTGCAGTTTGCAGCACCAGTGATGCCCTGCTGTCCGTCTAAATAGCTGGCCTCAAGTGACTATACCAAAGATGTATCATGAAAGTGTTTTGTCCACAGCTCCACTCATTAGGACCTTTTCAACACATCTTCATTAAACTTTGATAAGTGTTGAGGATCACAAAAGTTACCTGAGATCTCTAGGTTTAAGTGGTCTCCTATTCTGCTGTGTATAATGAAAAGGCTACAGCATCGGTGCTTCTGTTGGCTAGGTGAATAAACAGCTACAGGAAGCCTGCTAGAAAATAAAAATGGGCAAATCCATGGATGTAGCATTTGCACACACAAAAAAAACTTGTGCGTCTGTCAAGATTTTTCCTGTTCACCCTCCCTTTACAAATATTCTCCCCACCCCTTTTGTATGGGCACAATAGACTGAAGGCAGTCTTCACTTCTATGAAAACATCAAGAAGTTGGGAAGCATGATGGAGGAAGGAAAATAACAATAAATGTTAGTGTCTTGGAATCTTAGCCACTGTTCTTTCCTGGACATAGCACAGTACTGGTACATAGCTAGGGAAGGCTGGCTATGTTCATCCTTACTTTTAAGCATCTCAGTTGGAAAGGTTTTTGGAACCCCCAAATTCCAGAACAATTTGGGGTGCAATTGTATATACACACTTGGGAGTAAGCCCTGTTGTACTCAGTGGAATTTACTTCTGAGTGGACAGT